AATTCTAGAGTGAGATTGTGAGAGATTGTAAATTGCATACTCATAATCTAGAGAAGATATTTTTCTTCGCCCAAAACCTGAGTTATTCTTGTGTTTCTTATTGTTTTCTCCTCAACCCACCTTTGATAATTGCGCGATCAAAGGTGCTCGTACGGCAACTCGTATCAGATACATTTCAGCTGCACTTATTTTTGTATAATATAAACCATAAGATAGAGAAGATATCTTTTCTAATACGTATTTCTTCTTAGGAATGGTATTTGTAATCAATAAGTATTCACCATTTGTCTCATTCATCGTCTTGATATGATATTCATTTCGGCGGATATCTTTAAAACTTAGTAAATTTCTTCAAGACTTTATCGAGAGTAGTGCATTATTTATGACAATTTTAGTTCCTTCGGAGAGAAATACAGTGGCTCTTCCACAGCCATCAATCAATTTAGCACTACCACTTATTGTGTTAACATTTGTTTCTTTCATTTTCAAATGAGAAAAATACTTTATGTTTTTAAGTATAGTGTGTGTAGTAGCACTATCAATGAGACAAATATCATTATCACCATTGTTTGATCCGAAATATTTAGCATCCATTTCTTCTTCAGGAAGAAATGATAAGGAAAATTACAAACAAAAGTAAATATCAATAAAGTCCATAAATTACAAAATTCATAAAGAAAATTACTTAAAAGATGCGAAAGTAAAAAATTTAAAATATCAGGTATTTGTCATGAGATCATTTCGCAACTTCAGGTTGCTCAAGGAAATCAACTAAATCGAGGTGTGTGATATCATCAAGATCATCATAAACATTGTTTTAACCAATAAAATTTGTCTCGGTATTTTTACCTTTCCCTTTTAATGATGTCTGATAGAGGTCAACAAGATGTTTTACTATACGATAGATACGAGACCAATGGCCTTCTATTCCACACTGGTAGCATATTTTCTCATAATATTTCTTTTCTTCACTTTTCTTATCATTATTGTCCCACTTCTAGGAGTTGTTTTGTCTTTTGCCACGGTTATGATCATTGTGATTATAAGGCACATATCTGCCACGACCTCATCCACGACAACGACTATGTCCTCGGCCTCTTCCACGGCCATGTCCACGTCCACGACCATGATTTTGAGATTGAGTTGCATTCACTTCAGGGAATGGGCTAACACCAGTAGATCGAGATTCATAATTTTTCAATAATAATTCATTAATTTATTCAGCCAAAAGGAGGCATGACATCAATTCAGAGTATTTCTTAAATCCTCTCTCTTGATATTGTTGCTGCTGGAGCATATTCGAGGCATGAAAGGTGGAGATTGTTTTTTCTAACATATCGTCATCAGTGATATTTTCTCCACACAATTGCAATTGAGAGATAATTTTATACATTGCAGAATTATACTCACTGATTGATTTAAAATCTTGTAGCCTTAAGTGAAGCTAGTCATACCGGGCTTTTGACTGTACGACCAACTTTAAGTGGTCAAATCTCTCTTTCAAATTATTCCACAGAGTAAGTGGATCTTTCACAGTTAGATATTCAGTTTTTAATCCTTCATCTAAATGATGGCAAAGGAAAATCATAGCTTTGGCATGGCCTTGATTTGATGTCTCATTTTCTTCCACAATAGTATTTTCAAGACCCATTCATCGTCTTGATATGATATTCATTTCGGCGGATATCTTTAAAACTTAGTAAATTTCTTCAAGACTTTATCGAGAGTAGTGCATTATTTATGACAATTTTAGTTCCTTCGGAGAGAAATACAGTGGCTCTTCCACAGCCATCAATCAATTTAGCACTACCACTTATTGTGTTAACATTTGTTTCTTTCATTTTCAAATGAGAAAAATACTTTATGTTTTTAAGTATAGTGTGTGTAGTAGCACTATCAATGAGACAAATATCATTATCACCATTGTTTGATCCGAAATATTTAGCATCCATTTCTTCTTCAGGAAGAAATGATAAGGAAAATTACAAACAAAAGTAAATATCAATAAAGTCCATAAATTACAAAATTCATAAAGAAAATTACTTAAAAGATGCGAAAGTAAAAAATTTAAAATATCAGGTATTTGTCATGAGATCATTTCGCAACTTCAGGTTGCTCAAGGAAATCAACTAAATCGAGGTGTGTGATATCATCAAGATCATCATAAACATTGTTTTAACCAATAAAATTTGTCTCGGTATTTTTACCTTTCCTTTTTAATGATGTCTGATAGAGGTCAACAAGATGTTTTACTATACGATATATACGAGACCAATGGCCTTCTATTCCACACTGGTAGCATATTTTCTCATAATATTTCTTTTCTTTACTTTTCTTATCATTATTGTCCCACTTCTAGGAGTTGTTTTGTCTTTTGCCACGGTTATGATCATTGTGATTATAAGGCACATATCTGCCACGACCTCGTCCACGACAACGACTATGTCCCCGGCCTCTTCCACGGCCATGTCCACGTCCACGACCATGATTTTGAGATTGAGTTGCATTCACTTCAGGGAATGGGCTAACACCAGTAGATCGAGATTCATAATTTTTCAATAATAATTCATTAATTTATTCAGCCAAAAGGAGGCATGACATCAATTCAGAGTATTTCTTAAATCCTCTCTCTTGATATTGTTGCTGCTGGAGCATATTCGAGGCATGAAAGGTGGAGATTGTTTTTTCTAACATATCGTCATCAGTGATATTTTCTCCACACAATTGCAATTGAGAGATAATTTTATACATTGCAGAATTATACTCACTGATTGATTTAAAATCTTGTAGCCTTAAGTGAAGCTAGTCATACCGGGCTTTTGACTGTACGACCAACTTTAAGTGGTCAAATCTCTCTTTCAAATTATTCCACAGAGTAAGTGGATCTTTCACAGTTAGATATTCAGTTTTTAATCCTTCATCTAAATGATGGCAAAGGAAAATCATAGCTTTGGCATGGCCTTGATTTGATGTCTCATTTTCTTCCACAATAGTATTTTCAAGACCCATTGCAGCAAGATGTATTTTGACATCTAACATCCAAGATGAGTAGTTATTTTCAAAAATATCAAGATGCATAAATTCTTGTTTTGTAAGGTTAGTCATAGTGAAAAATGAATTGAATTGTAAAGAGAAATTTTACCTCAAAGGTTTACCCAAAATATGAACATGCGCCCAATGATGAATCTAATGGACTTGAAATGAATTGTTTCAATGATAGAGTCTCATGCTGATAACATGTTGTAAAACTAATAAAGTAGAGTAGAGAAAGTAGACAAGAAGTAGAAAAAAATTTATTTCCTCAAATTTCTCATTGCAAAGTGAGGTAGGAATAACTCTATTTATAAACAAACTAAGATGATGATACATGTATCAATCTCTTTGGGAAACTAAATGGACATCCACCTCATTTAATTGTTTCATAACAAAAACTATATATAGTTTTCATATTGAAGTGAAATGGGAAAAAAAACATTAGGTGACGATATTCTATTACAATCAAACTATCGAAATTTAGTTAGCAAATATGTAATATATCATGCACGCATCGCGTACACTAGAGCACTAGTTGGGTTTAAAAAGAAGTCACACGGAAACTTTGGGTGGATTAGGAAAGTGGGTAGATTTTTCATATGTTAGAGTATACCTTAATGGAAACCTTCTGATAAAACATTAACATAGGCATTGGGAGGTCATGATGAGAAATGTTGATATATACCTTCGTACAGCGGCGGCGGGAACTTACGCGCACCCGCAGAAATATAGGAGCGAGGATCACGCCACAAGCTTGCGGAAATATTCAAGTCTCGTAATCATGAGAAACAGAATTTGTCTTTTTTCCGTTTTCATTCCAAGAATGTTTTGCACGTTTGGACTTTGAAGATCAGCGTGTTTTCATGCATCATTGACTCTCCGCATTAATCAGTGAACCAGTTCTAATATTGTGGAGACTTTGGTTACTTTTACCGTAATATATACTCAAATTTTATCCACCTATTTGTATTTGCTCTTGAAATTAATTAAGGGGAAATTTCTTCATAATCAAAAGTTTAGCCGGCTATATTTTCTTTAACCAAGTAGTTTTAATAGTTCTCTCTTATATGTAAAAGACAGAAAATAAGACGAATGCGGTCAGCTCATACATGTTATTATTACCGTTCTAATTTTTTTCCATCATCTAATATTCTTGCAACACAAAGAGTTAACTTAAAAATAAATAAATATGTTGATGATTGTCATGTTCTAGAAAAGATAAACTTTGACCTGTAAACATAAGAGAATAGCAAATATGAACCGCCACGTTATTAATCAGTAAAATGCATGAACTGTCAAGATATATGAACGATACAATTTATTTACTTAGGTGTGACTAACAGGGTAATACCATACCAATGGTTTATCTCTTAATAGCTCGTGTAGTAAAATACGTTATGATCTCATATCCCTTTTCTAAAATGTAAACATAATAATATTATACTGATGAATATTTAATATGCATCAAATTGATTTGATGTACTTAAATTCAATTTCTTTTAGATGTGAGAATGTTAAGAGTACTTCAGGTACCAATATGTTACACAACATTGTCGGTGATGCGCGCACACCATATTACTTTCCCATCACACAATGATAGTGCAAATATGGAGAGCAATTTCAGTACAAAAGCGAATATTGCCATTATCACGCACTAATTAATTTCCCATCAAAGGAGAAATTAGACATTAACCAAGTCCAAAGAAACCGCAGAGAATTTATATGCTAACTTAAAGAGCTACAAATTAAAATCTTCCCTTTTATTTGGTCCAACTTAACCTAACGTTGTACTTATTACTGTTGGTCTTTCTTTATATTAGCTTTTACCACCTCAAATCAAACGCATAATTTTTTCCCTCATTCTTCACAATTAATACACTAGAAAACTCCCTCTTCCCACTATATATATATCACCACTTTTTCCCATTCAACCTTCAACATTACATTTCTTTCCTCTTGTTCTGTTTTCTCCTTCAATAATACTCTCAATATGGGTGAAGATTTGCAGGGTAATATTGGCCTTGGCCTTGGAATAGGAGAAGTCTTTGCTTCTTGCCAACAAAGTAATAAACCTCCGGTGCAATTAAACCTATTTTTTCCTTCATGGACAAAGGAAGAAGATGAGGGAGATAAAGGATTAATCACCACCAAAGAAGGAGAGAAATACGCAATAATTCCGAGATTTCGGAAGACTAATGAAGATGACGGTGGAGTGAGGAAGAAGCTGAGGTTAACCAAGGAGCAATCAACAATTCTTGAAGAAAGCTTTAAGATTCATAATACTCTAAATCAGGTATATATGCATAGTGAATAAATTTTTTAGAGTTTTAAGTGAAATAATAGATATTTTTTGGTCTAATATGCATGATTGATTTGTTGAGCAGAACCAGAAGCAAACACTGGCCGAGAGATTAAACTTGCGGCCGCGACAAGTAGAAGTCTGGTTTCAAAATAGAAGAGCAAGGTAACAAATTAATGATCCACGGCTTTTTGTTTGCTTCATGAATATATATGAAATTTCTAAATGTAATTTAATTTATCCCCTTCTTTTATAACTTTTCATAAATAAAAAAAAGTTCTTCAAATTCATTAGCACATAATGAACTGACAAACATGCAATATTAATATCTATCACAAATATGCTACAATATATGTTGTATTCCTAATTTTAAGAATTTTTTAAGGAACCTATGTAAATTACCACTTTAGAGGACAGATATGATAAATGATAGACATTACAATTTTTTTTCTAACTTTTGGTTTACATGAGGGGATTAATTTACTCCCATTTCTTTAATTCAATTAGAATGCATAATCACAC